GGATTATGGTCGCAGGGGACATCAAGCTCAATTGGCATAACATACTGCACAAAAATATTGTTCTACACCCTACTATGGTGAGTAGCAACTAGGCTCTTAAAAGCTTGCAAGTGGCCCTCTAAGATGCAACGGGTCTCTCTTCTTCCAGAGTAAAGAAGAATGAAGAAAACCAAAGACACATGGAAACAATTAACCCAAGGGACTAGTAGACCATGTGATCCTTAGCCTATAAGACCATGAGACAAAAAGAACTAGCTGGTGCTTGGCTGTCACTGTCAACCACTCAGAAGGGGATCAGTGCAAAAAATCCTGAATAGAGTGGGAGGACTATACGGAACAAAACCCAAAATCATTAAAAAAACAAAACAAAACATGTTTATTGGTCTGGTAGAGCCTGGTGAGACCCCTGAGACTATGGGTCCTAGCTACTCTTCAGGTCTGGAACTGAACTCAGTCCTGTGGCTTCCAGACAAACAATAGACAGGCATATGGGGTGAATGTTTACATCAGGTAGATGCACTCCTTAGAGCAATTGATCCAAGTGGGAGAACAAAAGGGCAGTGTTTGTACAAGGAGATAGCTTGGGGTGGGGGTGGGGGGCAGGAATGCATAGGAAAGAAGGACATAGGGAAGTGGTAACTACAGGGAGAAAGGGGGAAAAGAGCTATTACATTATGAGGAATTGTGGTCAATGCCTTGAAACAAAATGTGTATGAACTGCCATATGGAAAATGAATTTGTTCTGTAAACTTTCACCCAAGTCACAACAAAAATTAAGGTAAATACCAGAAAAAGAAAAGAGCATTGCAAGGCAGACCTTTTTTTTTCTACTAATTAAGCTAAACTATTGTTTGGCTTTAAAGAGATTTCAGGGAAAATCTTGTTTAAGGTTTAAAGATTATCACAAGGCAATATCGTCAAGGGTTCATCTACCTTCCATGGCTCTAGAAAGCCTAGAGTCCAAGATAATTTGAAATTCTCTTCTGTATTTCCCCCCTTTTGATTGGGATTCTTCTATGGATCTTTGACCAAAATATTCAGTAATGGTAGCTGGGCACCATTCAGTTCTTCTTGTCTTACAGCAAAAGAGGCAGTTGTTCATGGAGGCAATTAGCTACACACTCCATATCCTTCTATTCTTGACTCGCTTTCTTCCTGTGTAGCTCCAGGTAAGTAGATGTGTTAGGCTGGGTTCTCTGGAGAAGCAAAACCAGTGAAGCTGAGAGGGGGAGAGAAAGAGAGAGAGACAAAGAGAGAGAGAGAAAGACAGAGAGAGAGAAATGTATCTTAGGAAAATGGCTACACACTTATAGAAGCAAGCAAGTTCCAAGTTCTTGGATCAAATGTCAAGCTGGAGGCTTTTCCCAACCCACGCAGCTGCAGGGGCTGACGAGCTCAAGGCTGGCAGGCACTATACTGGCTGTTGACTTCAATGAATGATGAGTCCAAGATCATCAGGCCAAATGGTGGATTATTTGCTCACAGACAGTTGTAGGCAACACAACAGGATCCCGATCCATAGAAGAGTGTCTCATTTTCCCAGGATGTCCATAAATATATGAGAAGCAGGCCACATCCCCAGGGAAACTCCCTTCCAATGGATTGGCTTGTCAAAACATATACATCCAATCCTATCATGGGAATAACCCACATCACAACTGCTTAAACCACACGGAATTGTGGTCCAGGCAAGTTGACACACAACTCCAACTATCACAAGACCAAACCAAACTCACTGCTATCGATTCGGATCTGATCCATAGTGACCCCTCCTTGGGTTTCCAAGGCAGTATCTATGGAAGTAGGTCACCCAATCTTCCTTCCAAGGAGTGGCTAGTGGGTTTGAACCGCCAGCCTTCTGGTTAGCAGTCAAATGCCTTACCTTGGATGGTCACTTTCAAGCTTTTAAGGCAGCATAGATGTTATTTTATTTGTTAACCTGAGTACATTGTTGTCCCTCTCAAAATTTGGAATTTGTCGAGAAGGAGAGAAATGAATGTTTGATGAAATGAGAATGGAAAATGTCTCCCTGACTGTTTTTGCTGTGATTAGTGTATGTGTGTAAAGCATCTAACAGTCTGTGATGAATTGATGGCACAGCCTCTCCCTCCTTGTGCTCATTCACTTCCCAAGGGCCTAATTCACAGACAACAGCATACGGTGGAGCAATGTCTTGAGGTCACAATTTGTTATCCACTCAGTTAACTTGTTGTTGTTGTTATGTGCTGTCGTGTCACTGAATAATTTCATTTATAGGGAGAAAATGGATGTAATAAGGAAAAAAAAAAACAGAAACAATTTTACATCTTACCATTGACCAAACAAAAAACCATCCCCGTTGATCAAGTCAATCCTGATTCATATCAACCCCAAGTGTTACAGAGCAGAACTGCTCCATGCGGTTTTCTTGGGTGTGTTCTAATGGAAGGAGATTGCCAGAACTTTCTTCTGTGGTGCCACTGAATGGGTTCCTCTAGATGAATGCAAACTGTTTGCACTGACAACTGGCAGAGTACTCAAAATCTAGCTATACCATCTTGCACAAAGCCTTCTTGTAATATTTAGAGAAGCAACTCGTTTTTAACTTCAGATGTGGCTACTCTATAAGTTGTTTTAGGAAATTATTTACAATATTACTTCTGTTCTAAGTATATGGCATTATTATCTGTGCACCATAGCTTCTGCTGATCACATTGGCAAACAGTTTACGCCACCGGGAGTATAGTTATATGTGTACACTTTTTGCATAATTTTAAGATCTTTGCTATTAAGTAACTCATTGGATGAGTGTAAGGGTGTCAAAGTGTGTTATAAATCAAAACAGAAGATTAGAGACAAATATTACTTACGAATGCTGATTTTACATTCTATGCTGGCTAGGAGGATTGGATTGTGGAAGCACACAGCACAGCTGAACCAATTTCGTTGGACGCTGATGCCCCATTCTGATATTAACAAGGCAAGCATGGACGATAAGCAGATTCCAGGAAGCAAAGTGAAGTGAAAATGAAACCAGAAGTGTGAGCAACAAGCTGAAACAGTCATTTTTATTTGCTGTGGCAGTGCTGTTGTCCACTTAGTACTGCAGTACTCTCCTAAATCTACAGTGCGTGTGAAATTTGAAAAAACGGATTGTGCATTCCTGAAGTAAGACGGAAAGATGAGTTAGATCTCTGATAACAAACTTCAGGATTTTTGCAACAAGTCTCTTAGTCATAAAATGGGAATACAGGATTTGCATATGTGCATTTAAAAAGTAACTTTAACTACTCTTGGGTGAAAAGGAGGAAAAAAGGAAAGGAGGAAGGGGAGGAGGAGGGCAAGAAGGAAAAAGAAAAAAATTACTTTATACATCTGTCTATTAGACTATGACTCAGTTCAATTAACTTGTGGTTTAATTTCAATACAGAGTGTAAAGAAGATGGCGAGAGAGCAAGAGATTGACATTTTCCAAGAAAAGCAAAAAAAAAAAAAAAAAAGGTATATATATTATAGTAAGATAAAATGAAGCAAAAACTATGACATTTACATATTGCATATTGCCAGTACAGGAGCAATATTAAAAATTAAATTAAAAAGCACAGATAATTCTGACTATGGCTAATAACTCTTTATAAAGCTCAAAGAAACGCTTCACTCAAAGTTGATTAGATTTGTGTTTAAGTAAACCATGATCGATAGCATTTAGCACAGAAATAGAATGTATACATTTATTGCATGTCTTAAAATTCAAGCACTCTAAGCACTTGGCTTATTGACTTAATTTACATTCAGATCATCTTAACTATATTTCACAAAATCACCAATTAAAATAATTATTCCAGGGCCAGTGGAAGAATTTCTTAATATCCACACTGGAGTCATTTATGTCTTGTGTGATAATCAAGACAGAAAGCATACAGAACTGCTTCTTGGCATAAACAACCCAGCCCAGCTCCAGCCCCAGTCCCAGGCTCCTGCAAAGACAAAAACTAGAAAATGGTCCCATCCTTTACGTAGCCTCCAGGGCAGTGCTGTTCCAGGGCACAGGCTCAGAAGACTTTCTCTGAGAGTTTCCTGATGTTTATCACCGCTCTCCAGTCCTTCACCCCATCTCCATGATTCTGCCCTTCATCCTGTCCTTGAAGAAGGTGGGAGATGGGCATTGCAAGTCACTTTCTCAGAGAACCTAGAGGAACCTTGTTTGCCTTATTTCTTCTTCCATTTAAAGCCATTTGTTGGAAGTGACCAACAGGGCATTTAAGAGACAAATACTACTCTGAATAATGATGTCAACTTTTCTTCTGCCTCATGGCTTAGAGATAATAGACTTGTAACAAAAACCTGAGCAAACACCAGGGAGAAAAGGGTCTAAGCTGCCACCTTGTCGATGTTGTACAGCCACCATCTACGCCTGCTGATACTAAGACACCAGGAATGCAAACACAGGGACTCAAACCGGCTAGTTGGTTTCACAGTTAAATAGCTAAACATTACAATCTATTGAACGCATTAGCTTGCATTTCTTGGTTGTATGGCATCATGTTGTTTGTAGGAAATTACTCATTCTGCTATAACCATTTTGATATCATTATGCTATCTGACATTTAAGAATGTGCCATTCATGCTGACTGCTTTTCTTCCTATTTGTATTTACTCTAGCATCCTGCCTTTGTTCTCCTTTGCTGAGAATTGCTTCTCTAATGAAAAATACAATGGGCTGTTCTAAACTTGGGGAAAAAAATTATAAATTATAAATCACAAGTATATGGGATAATAAAAAGAAATGAAATTTAAAGTAATCGATTTGGCTTCTTAATGAAATTGTTTTTCTTTAATTGCTAAGTAAATGAAAAGTTGAAACCATTGTATACTCCAATATTTTCAAGTATAAGGTACTCTCCTTAACCCTCCCCCAACAATGAATCATAGTTACATAATTCTTTAAATGTTATGTTTACAACTAAGGTGACTGGAGGGTAAATTGATTGCCTGGTAGCCCTTATAATTTCCATTCATAACTACATTTGAGATTCTACCGAGATTCTATTTAAAGTTAAGAGGGCTTTCTGATAAGGCACTTCCTTACACTCATCCATGGCTGAGGTGGTGGTCTCCTCAGGGTTTTCACAGCTGCTGACAATGGCAATGGCACTAAATGACCTTTGCCTGACCTTGGTGTCTGATGTGCAGGGTCCTTGGACTGGTGATGCCTTTTCCATGTTGTGGAGCTGCTGGTCTTTCCAGTCCAATTGTTTGGCACTGCAAAAGGGGGCATATACTTCAACGCTTCCCTCAAACTGTAAGCAGTTCACTTTGTAATACTTTCTCTTAACTTCCAAGACATCATTAAACCTGTGACCCCAGAGAATTTCTCGGGGGACATAGGAACTTCTGGATTGGTGAGACGTCCCAGTGGAATCGCCAGTATAGATAAATGTCACCAGAATTTCAAAGTTGTCTTTAGCCACTGCTTTGCGGTCAAGCGCATAAAGAGGGCTCTCATGGTCAATTTCATGAACGATAGTTACTGGCGTGACAAGGATGATCTGGTCATTGACTAACTTTAGGTCTTTAAATGCCATTGTCATCCGCCCTTCGCTATCTTCCGTGTAGCGGAGAAGTTGGGCTCTGACTGTCCCTTCTACTACGTGGTTTGGTCGGAAATCCCCAATACGCCACATGAGGCAAAGCTTCCCATCTCTCATGCCTATGAGCGCAAAATAGCTAAACCGAATGGTTTGGGCTCTCTTCCGAGCAGTTGCCATTTTGGCCAAAGCGGCTCCAATGATGAACGTATTGATGATGCAGCTTAAGATGGACTGAAGGATCACCATTAGCACTGCCACAGAACACTCCTCAGTGACACAGCGGTAGCCATACCCTATGGTGGTCTGGGTCTCGAGGGAGAATAAAAACGCCCCTGTAAAAGAATGGACATTGTCCACACAAGGTGTGATGTCTGGATCATTTAACAGATCTCCATGATGAAAGGCTATTAGCCAAAAGATGGTGCCAAAAATCAGCCAGGAGAGAATATAAGACAAAGAAAATATCACAAACATATGGCGCCACTTGGTGTCCACGAGAGTGGTGAAAATGTCGACCACGTAGCTCCCCCATTCTCCAAAAAGGTGCTTGAAATATACATTACAGCCACCGTCTTTGTGGAGCAGACGTCTTCTTGCCCTTCTCTTCTCAGCTATCATGTGTTCTGGTGGGTATCCTGGATATTTCGGGTCCACATTTACAATCCGATAGCTGCTGCCGTAATAGCTCATTCTTTCCTGTGCTCTTAGTGCATCTAGGTAAGGTTTGCAGTAGCAATCATTTGAGGTGCACTGCTGTTTGTCGGTTTGATTTTCAGTTAAAACCTGAAAAAGAGAATTAAGCACGCTTTAGCTTTCAATTTCCAGCCTTTCAAACGCGAAGGAGCTCTGGTGGCGTAGCGCCTAAGGCACTTGACTGCTAACCAGAAGGCTGATGGTTCCAACCCACCAGCCACTCCTCAGGAGGAAGATTGGGCAATCTACTTCCATAGTGATGCTGCCTTGGAAACCCAAGGAAGGGTCGCTGTGAGTCGGATTCGACTCAATGGCAATGAGAGGGAGAGAGAAGGAAGTAGCTAAGACAACATCTGAACATTAGAGACACTGTTGATTATTCATTTCAATTTAGAATTCAACTCAGTCATCATAGGAAAAGAAAAGGACAACTAGAGAAAATAACATTTTTATAAATGCATAAGGTTTCAGCAAACACCATGATCATCACAAATGAACCCTCACTACCTTTTCTGACCTGACATAAAAGCAATATATTTTTTTGCTTCTTGCAAGAGGACATTTAGAAAGCTAAGTGACCTACAATCTAGAGGCAGATATACATCAGCTATTTGGCTAGCAGTCCGATAAGCTCTCTAGCTGTTAAAGTAAGCTGGTTTTCCTTAGAAGCCTACCATTAGGATTTCCTACCTTTACCTTATAGCATAAGTTACATCCTGGTTGCTGTAATAAGTAGTACCACACCTGTAGTATCTGCTGTCTCCTCCCTCTTCTAAGGAGCCTTTTCTTCCTTGTGTGCTTCCGAGGACAGAAAAGAACAGACAGGGACACCTATTTCAGATTAAACTCTTTACCCTTAGCTCCACCTTTAGTCTTGAAAGGAGAGAAAAAAAAGAAACTTTCTGAACCCCACAAGAATCAAAACCACTCCCAGGCAAGTTGTCAGCAAGGTGTAAAATTGCCTCTGTCTTTATTCCACAACATCCATCCTCCCCACCCCACCCCTTTTTGACACTGGCCGCTCTTCTCTTTCCCTCTGAACAGAAGGGGGAAACTTGCCAAAGTTGCTGATCTTGTTTCCCTCTTAAAGGGAGCATGCTACAAATGAGCTTCTCTCCAGCTCTGCAGTGTTTGCCTGATGCTTGCAAAGCCATCCCAAGGAAAGCAGTGTGCCTCCCTCCAAAGGCAGCCTTTCGAATATCAAGGTCAAGCATAGAATTCATATCAGTTTTAGCGTTCATGGTAAAGGCCAATTCATATCCCAGCTTAAGTCTGAAAGCAAACTTTCAACATGCAACATCAAAATGTTCTTTAGTTGCTTCCGTGCCTGCAGCCCTATAGTAATCGTTTAATAATTAATAGACTGATTTCTGCATAGTCTACCTTTGCCAGATGTGGAGACTAGAGGGGTAGCGGGCACTTTAAACTAGAAGTTTCTGCTACTCTGCTGCTTGGGGAATGCGGGATGAGTAAACATTATTCCTGACACAGAGACACTCCCCCAAGTTGGAATCAAGCAGAGAAATTAGTAAGTAAGTGGTTACGGATTTTGTTCTTGACTACAAGGGACTGGAAAGGGTTACCACTCCCTGCAGTCGAGTAGGACTCCTTTTTCTCCCTTCTCCAGGGACCAGACCCACTTTACAATAAACACTTTGTTTGGTGGACCACTTGTCAGGACCGTCTCTGCTTACAGACTGAAAAACTTTCCTCAGACAAAAACCCTCTATGGCAGACAGTTCAATTCTGCCTGAGCATCAAAGTCAGCCACCACACACATCATCCTTCCCACTCGTGTCCAGCAGTTACGCCCACTCCTTTGTTAGCAGGTAGGCTGCAATTTGGGGGAGACGACTGTCATATTTCAGGATGGGATCCAGGCCTGCCAAAATGCTTACTGGAAGGTCAAACGTAAAATATTTTCCCCCATTTTGTGCACAGAATTCACCATTGATTGCAGGTTCTGACTTGGTTTGAATGACCCTGACCTTTTAAAAACTGAAGCTGTGATGTGATTCGCAGCCTCAACTCTCTCCCCTGGTCACAGGCGGCATGAGAATGTGACAAATTATAATCAAAGGCCCAGGCGGTTTCAAATCAAAAAGCTTATTTGGAGATAGGATTGTTTTCTTGTTAAACAGTTCCAACCCAGTTCCTTAAAGGGAACAACGTACTTGTACTTCGTGGGAGTTTGTGAGTTAAAAATAGAGTTCAGAAATCAAGAGCTACTGTGTGATTCTGTACTGTTCTATTGCCAAAAGAAAAAAAAAAAGTTTTGATTTGAAATGGCATTGAGTTGGCATCATTTTGAATTCCAGTAGTGCCAGCAACTGTTACAAGCAAGCCAGTTTTAAAGCACCGTCAGAAGTCTGCTAATGGGTTTTCAATTCATACATGCTACAAATGACATTCAAGTATGTGGAAAATTTACTTTTGAATAATGTAATAATTTCAGGGGTACAAGTCATAGCTGTGAGAATTCCGCCCCAAAACCACACGTCCTCTGTTGCGGTTCGTTATTGTGCTTTCAATTTCAACTAGGAGCCCTGATGATGCACTGGTTAAGCAGTAGGCTGTTGGCTGTGAACCAAAAGGTCAGTGGTTCGAATCCACTAGTTGTTCCAAGGGAGAAAGATGTGGCAGCTTCTGTAAAGATTTACAGCCTTGGAAACCCTATGGGGCAGTTCTACTCTGTTCACAGGCTCATGCAAGTCAGAATCTGCTTAATGGCAATGGATTTGATTTGCTTTGGAATTTCAGCTTCTCCCATGAAAAACAGGCAGCTGTTATTTAGATCCAAACACTATTCATCGACTCTTTGATTCTCCAATGATGTAAATGATACAGTTTCTAATGGGCAATCATCTTTAATCTAAGTAATAGATTATAACTGAGTTAATTTTACTCCTTCTTATCCATTTTTCAGCCTATCTAATGAGCAAAGAAGTTTATGGAAACCCATAACTTGGTTAGACAAATTAAATATTGATTACTCTATTAATTTTTTTTTTTAATATGCTGTGTTAATTTGACATGACAGGTTGCTTCTGAAAAATCAGCCATAGAAAATTCTACGGAGCACAGTTTTACTCTGACCCACATGGGGCTGTCTTGAGTTGGTGTTGGTTTGACGGCAACTGTTTTGCTTTTTGATTTTTTAATCTATTTTGACTAGTAGGATCTGCTTTTAGGCCTCAGCTCTGTAAGAAAACAAGGGGAAACTCTTATCATTAAGCACCCTTCAAATGATCCATAAGCATGACAGGGAATCTTTGCAACAAAGCCATGAGTATCCTGCACAGCGGCCTGTTTCTCAACACACAGCAGTGCCTCACTCAGTCACCACACTTTCAGCAGTTCCTCTGCTGTTTTGTCACATGAGTTGAAATTGACTCCAGGGCACACAACAACAAGAAGCCCTTTGAAGTTACTGAATACCTCCTTCAGCATGTAAATGGCCCGAGGTGGTAAAAAGAGGTCAACAGTAATCAAGTTGCTTTCCTGAGAACTGTTAGATGAGATAAGTTTGGGTGGAAATGTGAAGCTGATAAGGCAGAGAGCAGAACCCATAACCGGAGTGGGATCCCCCATAACCGGAGTGGGATCCGACTCATAGCGACCCCTCCTTGGGTTTCCAAGGCCATATCATTTCGGAAGTAGATTGCCCAACCTTCCTTCCGAGGAGTGGCTGGTGGGTTTGAACCGCCAGCCTTCTGGTTAGTAGTCAAATGCCTTAGGCACAATGCCACTAGAGCTCCCAGAGAGCAGAAAAGATGGCCTAATTCCTTCTGCTGGTCACTGTCCTTGAAGACAGACTTGGGTGGATCTCTGCAGGGTATGTGTGCTGGAGGTCAGTGGAAGAATGTAGGAAGAGGGTACATGTGAGTGGACCCTAGTCTCTGAAGAGAAAGGCAGAAGGGTATGTATTAATGAAGGATGAAATTCAAAACAAGTTCAGCTCTTTTGCTCAAAACCTGTCCCACAACTTCTTACATTGGAGTTTTGCCTGCGCCTTGTCTTGCCTGGAATCCTGGTAAGACATTCAGACATATTTGGGTGTAGCTCGCTAGTCAATTATTGAATACCTGCTTCACCAGAACTCACTAGATGTTGCCTATACTTCTGCAAACCCTCCCTGGCTCCCTGGTTTCAAACTCTTTATTCTTTGCTGATAAATCAAGGGAATTCTCACGTTCCCTTCTCAGCCACTATCGCTCCCAGAGTGCATTCTTGAAGTCCATGCAGTTGTCCTCTGTTCCCTTTCTTTTCTCTTCTTCCTCCCACGTCCAAGCCTGGCCCCACTTCTCATTGACCATAGATTTTACCCCTTTCCTGATACATTTTTATAATTTCTCCTTCTGACTCAATTTACTACAGGAAAAGGGTCATAACATAGGTAGTGAGCAAACAATGAAACGGAAAGCCAGAGCTGGGAAGGAGGACCAGGAGTCCAGGGATACAGACTGCTTATAACAGTTTCTGGACATCTTCTTTCCAGCCTAGTTTTTCCTTAATAAGATCTACATCCTTATCATCAATCTTCCCTCACCAAGAATTCTGCTGTATTTTATAAACTAGAGGAAATTTAGAGGTTGGATTATGTTTCTTAATTCTAGATGTCATGATTGTACCAAAATAATATGAATTATAATTCCAAGCTATTCTAGCTTGAAAATCAAATTACTTTAAGAAGAAATAGTCCAAAATAAAATGTAGTTTGGCATATGGTGGGGAAAGTCTGGGTTAGGAGGCAGAATCCAATTCCAGATCTATCCTCAACTTCCTGATTACTTTAAGTAAATTTTCTGTAAACCTGAGTGTCTTCATTCATGATATGGGGATACTAATCCACATGTCAATGAGTGATTGTGAGGTTTGAATGGAATAATGAATGGGAAGCCACCTTTCACTGGGCTGGGCACTGGTAACTTAATAGTTGAATCTTAACCTCATGAGGATCCAGTTTCTGCCTCTGCAAAATATCACAACATCTGCTCTAAGCTTCTCAGAGT